GTAATTACAAAATATATTAATGAAACGGTGAATTAATCACTAAAAAGCTAGATAAAATAAAAATGAAAATAAATAAAAAAGAAAGCGTGAAATGGGGAAAATTAACGTTAAAAAGCTAAATTATTTTTATTGAGGTATATTAAATTATACTGAATGTACAAAATTCAATATGGAAGAAATATAAAATAGTCATTTGTATTAAAAGCAAAAGACGATTGTACAGTTAGAAAATTTTACAAATTAGCATTTTTGATCAGTTTTATTTGATCAATTAATTGTCTATTCAGTTTTATTTGACCTCCCCCCATTAATTCCATAAATATATAACATTCGATTTGAATTAAGTAGATGATATCAATAGAGAATATGGTTTAAATATGTTATTTTCTTCAATACATTGAATATATATTGTTCTCTCTCTGAAAAAATTGAATTATAATCCTTCTAATTATCCTTCTAAAAAAATATTAAAGAAAATTTTAATAATAATAATAAAATTAAATAGAAAATAGAAATTCAAAAAACAAAGAGAAAGAGTGAAATGGAGGGGGGGGGGGAATTCCAGATTAAAAGCTACATTTTTCTTTTATTGACAACAGGTATATTTAATTATACTGAATACACAAAATGCAATATGGAAGAAATAGCCATTTGTATCAAAAGCAAAAGATGATTGTACAGTTGGAAAATTTTACAAATAAGCATTTTGATCAGTTTAATTTAAGTTTAATTTAAATTTAAATTTAAATTAAGTAGATCATATCAATAGAGAATATGGTTGAAATATATATATTTTTCAATACATTGAATACATATTGTTTTCTCTCTGAAAAAAAAAACCCTTGCTACGTGTACTGCGTTAGGCTAACCGAGACTTGTCATTTGCACTTATATATTGTTGCTCTTTTGTTAGTTTTGATTGCTTTTATTGTCCTCATTTGTAAGTCGCTTTGGATAAAAGCATCTGCTAAATGACTAAATGTAAATGTAAATGGAAAAATGGAATTATAATCCTTCTAACTAGAAAATACATTAATGAAAAAAATATTAAAGGAAATTAAAATAAAAAAAATGATTAAATAGAAAAGAGAGATTCAAAAAACAAAAAAGAGTGAAATGGGGGGGGGGGGGGGGCACGGGGTCGCCACAGCAGAGTGATCCGCACAACCGATTTGGCACAACAACAAAACCAAAAAATAAAAAGTGAAATAGGAAAAATTGGGGATAAAAAGCTCAATTGTCTTTATCGATGTATATTGAATTATATTGAAAGTACAAAATTCGGTATAAAAAGAAGATGAAACAGCTAAAGCAGATAAAAGACAACCGTACAGTTGGAAAATTATAAAGTTCTATTAGTTCTATTTGTTCTTGTTTTTTACATTTAAAAATATTTGATTCAGTTTAAATTAAGCGGATGATATCAATAGAGAATATGGTTTAAATATATTCAATTTTCGTTCAATTCAATGCATATTGTTCTCTCTCTCTCTCTTTCTGACAAAATGGAATTATAACCATGTAACCATAACGTAGAATTATATTTCTAACTAGAAAATACATGAATGAAAAAATGATGAAATGAAATTAAAATAAAAAGAGAAATTCCAAAAAATAAAAAGAGACGAAAAAAAAATCCAGATTAAAAGCGAAATTGTTTTTATTGACAACAGGTATATTGAATTATATTGAATATGCAAAATGCAGTATAACAAGAATATTAAACAGTCATTTGTATCAAAAACAAAATTGATTGTTCTTGTTTCCACTGTCATAAAGTAATTGTACAAGTCTGTAAGAAATACATTACAAAAAAATTATAAAACATTATTTTCTGACAGTTTAATCGTGTAAATTATGACATGATATATGTACAAGCGGAACTCCTGACTAATGTCTATGATACACGGAACAAAAATACCGTCGAACTGTCTCAACGGTCCGTGTCTTAAATCTTCCCCCCACTAGTCACACGTGTGACAGACATTCACTTATATCAGCAAATATGGTAAATCGTGGTTAAAAACTTTATTTAATTAAGAATTACTTTTGAATGGCGTGTTTAATAATAGGTATTCTCACTTCAGCCGAAGGCAGCCAAAGGGAAGGGACAGGTGGAGAAGAAGGCTATTCACCCATACAGCAGGAAAGCTGCATATTTAGCAAGCGCTGCCATCAAACAACAGAGGAAAGAAAAGTAAGATTCGTTTCTGCTCCACTTTTATATTAATTCATGTCCTTTAAAGGGAAATAAATAAGGTTTTGTTTTGCCACTGTTACGTTTTTTATGCGTTATACTTGTATATGTTTTTATTACACCTGTAAAAGTAGTATTTGTAAAATCACTTTTAGGCTAAAAGGTGGAAAGGCACAGCGTCTAAATTTGATTGGTGAGTAGTTTACTTTTATTTTGTACTGCCTTTGTGTAAACAAGGAATTTGAAAGCTTGTTTGTTGACTGGTTTGTGAAAGTTGACATTGGATATTTGGCAGTATACCAATGTGTTATACACCAGCTAACAAAAATATGTTTTGCTAACGTTCCCATTAAATTATTAAAACGTTATTTGGATGTTTTTTAACGTTTTAAAAACGTTTTTCTTGTTTTTTTTTTTTTTTTTTGGAACATTACAGAAAATATGAATTGAATATTCCGTTTTATTTGTTTTGCAAACACTATGGGAATGTTACTTATGAATGTTCTGTTGTCCTCTGAATAATCTGAAATTAGTTAGTAACGTTTGATGAACATCCCACAACATTTTTGTGATAACGTTTTAAGAACATTATTAAGGCCCGTTTAGCATTGAACAAATATTCTATGACATTCTGGGAATGTTCCCTGTTAGCTGCTTACTTGTCTTCACTTATTTTCTGCAGGTGAAAAACTTTTGTGGTTCCAAAGCCAGCTGGACCCTGACAAAGCAGAATACACTAAACATGATGCTTGTGAAATAATTGAGAGGTATAACAAGCCCCAAGCAAACATGTCGTTATGATTTGTAAAGTTCTGCATACATAGCACTGTCTTGAAATGTTGAAAATCTGTATATTGAGAATAATAAAAACAGGCATCTTTGCTCATATCCTCTTTCACAGGTACCTTCACCGGTTTGACAGAGAGCTGGAGCAAATTGAGTTAGCAAACAGTATCAAAGGACGACAGGGTCGTCAGCATGGCTCTAGAGAGGCTGTCATCAAACAAACAATAGAACGAGAGAGAGCTCAGTATGAAGGCAATGGCTTTGGTATGTTTCCTATACTCACATTAACTTTTGTATGGGTCTCTTTTATCTTTATTTGTTTCCTGCCATATAAGAGGTTTATGTGATAAGTGTTAAGAATGCATGAATAAAATGTATCCTGCAATAATTAGACACTATTTCTGAAAATGTAAACGTCTGTCTGGAATGGCATGAAGAAACAGAACAAACTGAGACAGACTAAATCCAGAAGAACTGTGGCAACGTCTCCAAGATGCTTCAAGAGATCTACCTGCAAAGCTTCCTGAAAAACTGCGCAAGTGCACCTAGGGCAAAAGCTACCACAGTTCTTCTGGACTGAGTCTGTCTCAGTTTGTTCTGTTTCTTCATGTCATTCCAGACAGACTGGATGATGATGATGAGATGAGATCTCTGTGTAGAGCACTGGCTGTTGTCAGACTCCTTGTGCAAACAAAAATCTCACTGGATTATTACAATTAATGGCAAAAATGAATGTTTGGAAATATAAACTGATATTTCCTACTGACACACTGCAGCAACAGATATAAATAACTAAATAATATATATAGAAAGGCTAATTATGCTTCTCCCTTTTTACATTTAGGCAACATGTTCTAGATGGTTTAATGTTGTCTTTCTTTTTTCACTTTACAGAAATCCCTGATATCATCAATTCTAAGCATCTGAAAATATTTAGGTAATTACTACATAAAAGCATGTTAACACTCTTTATAGCAAGTCATCAAATTCAAAGAATTTCTGGCACAGAACTATGTAAAGTCCAACCCTAATCCTAACATAATGGGACATTTTTCTAACCTTGAGCCACATTCGTTTAACAGAGAGTGGACTGGTGACCTCAAGAAACTCCCCAACATTAAGATGAGAAAGGTTTCAGCCAAAGGCTCTGACAGCGCACCATCTGCAGTTTCACAAGATAAACACATGGGAGAAGAGAATAATGAAGATGCATCTCTGAATTCTGACACAGACCTGTAGTACTGTGAAATCCTGCAGCTCTACTACAGTAAAGTTTACTGTAGAGGAAAAGGACCAGAGTGTATTGGGCCGCTTGCAAAAATGTGTTGTAAGGAAGGTTACTTAGTCACTCAGGTAGCACAGTATTATTAATCCATAAATAAACAGAGACTTTGAAACAGTTTGATACATTCACTGGTTTATTGCACTGACTGATGTTTGCATGTTTCTTTGATAATGTGCATTTGAATTGTGAACAATGATGTTGATCACCAAATCTCACTTGATCCTGACATGGCCCTATGGGCATTTTTTATTTATTATTTTCATATATCAAGATATATGAAGTCACTGCAGAAAATCACAATACAAAAAAAAAGTAAAATTTGCTTAATTCTTTCTGATTACCACTCAGAAAAACCTGATCTCCATAAACCCTTCAAAACATAAAGGTTCATCTCAATAAATTAGAATGTCGTGGAAAAGTTAATTTATTTCAGTAATTCAACTCAAATTGTGAAACTCGTGTATTAAATAAATTCAATGCACACAGACTGAAGTACACGACATTCTAATTTATTGAGATGCACCTGTATGCTGGGTTGTTTTAACCCAATGTTGGGTCAAATATGGACTAACCCAGCTGTTGGGTTCAATTTTTAAATGAAAGTTTTAACCCAAAAGTTGGGTTAGTCCATATTTGACCCAAAGTTGGGTTGAAACAACCCAGCATTTGTAGAATGCAGTCTTGAAAAACACCAGCTGCCACTGATGTTTAATAAAACAGGATCTGAGCTGTTCAGAGACGTGTGTATGTGTGTGTTACCTTGCGCAAAGGCTTGAGGTGTGTCTCCATGATGAAGTCATATTTGCACAGCTCACAGCAGCGTGTGTCGGAGCTCTTGATCCACTGGTACAGGCAGCCCTGGTGCACAAAACGCAAACTTCCTGTACAGCGGCAAGGTGTGATGAGCAGACACTCCTCGTCACCTTCACAGTGACAGATCCTGCACACACAAAAACACATCAGCTTCTCGCTGGTTTAACCTCTTGCGCTCATTCATCTCTATCACGCTCTCTCACCTGCACACCTCTAGCTCATCATCAGTGCATGCTTGTTGCGTGGCACCATTTTGATTGGTAGGAATAGTGCATTTATAAGGGGACGGGACAGACATATCTGGATCTCCTGAACCTCTTTCCTCATACATCTTTGTAATAGGCTCTTCCTCCTCACTTCCGCTCCTATTACTACCAAGCTCATTCGCTTTTCTGTGATTGGCTGCCTGGCTTTGGCCCCCACGCTCCTTCCGTTTTGACAACTTTTTATGGGCCCTGGTGTTGGGGCCCTTGCACAGTGGTGGCTGGTTCTCTTTCTGTCCCTCGTCTGAGTTGACAGACATGAGCTTAGTGGCGTCCTGTTCCTCACGGGGATACGCTTGCATGTGTCGGCTGCCGCTGCGTCTCCGTCGCGCTTTCTGGTGGCTCCAGGAGCGAGCTTCTCTCCAGCGCTGCTCGTCCTCTGAGGAGGAGTCAGAGTGTGTGTGTGTTTGCTTATGCAACCGTGAATGTCTCGGTTGGTCCACACACTCTGTTGCACACCCAACGGTCCCGGTGCTCTCCCGTCGCCGGCGGATAAACCGTTTGACTTGCCGCTTTGTGTTGGGGGCGGAGTCGGAGGCGGGGTTTATGGGCATGACAGGTGTAGTCTGATCTGAGCCATCAAGTTTAGCTTGACCACTAGAGCTGCACAACACACAAAAACAAAAGGGATGAAGAAGACACAACAGAGCGTGAAATGATTGATGAGTAAAAAAATTTAATGGACAAATAAAAAGTGAATTTCTATTGAATGGTGTATTTTATCCCCTCATTTGCCTAATTTTTCCTTACAATTCACTGTTCATTCATTTTTTTAATACATAAAACCAGAAAGAAAATGTGGCATTCAAGACGTAATTTCAGATATTTTAACATACCTTTATAGGTATGCATTCAAATTCATACATAAAAGTCTTAGAAAGTTTAATACATAACCATTTTTTTTATTTTGCATTATAAAATTACTTTAATACAAACTGATTAATAAATTATATTATTCTTCTAGTTTGCATTAATTTCATTTAAATGTAATAATTAAATAGAAATGATTTCAAATGATATTTTTCTATTTTGTTCCTAATTTAATACAAAATGTTTTATAAATTATATTACTCTATTCTAATGTAATTTTTATAATTTAATACAAAATTCTTCATAAATTATATTATTCTGTTTTGCTTTCCTAATTACATGTTTATAAATCATTATTCTATTCTAATTTAATTTAATAATTTAATACAAAATGTTTCAAAACGTATAATATTCTATTTTGCACTCTTAAAATGTAATTTAATAGAAAATGTTTTATAAATAATATTATTCCATTTTGCATTCATAATTTAATTTTATAATTCAGTACCAAATATTTTATAAATTGTATTATTCTATTCTAATTTATATTATTATATTATTATTATAATACTGTTTTATTATAAATTATATTCAATTTCACACTCTTAATTTAATACAAATCTTTTATAAATTATATTATTCTATTCTAATTTATATTATTATAATAATACTGTTTTATTATAAATTATATTCAATTTCACACTTAATTTAATACAAATGTTTTATAAATTATATTATTTATTTTCAATTTGTAATTGATATTGATTGAAATTTCATAATTTAATACAAAATGTTTTTATTAATTATATTACTTTTTTTGTATTTGTACTTTAATTAAATTTTATAATTTAATACCAAATGTTTTCTAAACTGCATTATTCTATTTTGCCGCTTTAATCTAATTTATTTAAACTCATTAAATTTATTGTATCATAATCTCTCTGTTTTCTGCTAAAAATTTATTTTCATTGTTCAAAATCTTCTTTCGGTTTATTTTCTGATTAAAAATAGAAAAAGACACTGACATTCCACAACTCATTCCATAAAATCATATGATGTGCAAACATATAGATGAGCAAACAACCAATCACAATCATGGTAACCCATAGCATCAGCCTATGACCAGACTCACCTGCATATGTCCTGTGAGGACGGTGTAACTGATGTTTGAGAGACACTGTTCAGCACGGCTCCAGGGGTGGAACTGCTTGTCTGAAACAGCAGGTGACAAAAGTACGAAATAATATGAATGTGCAAAGCACACACTTTGTTGTTATTAGGGTTGCTTTGAATAATGATGGTGTGGGTGTGTATGTTACCTTAGATATATTGCTGGATCGACGTCCTGATCGCCCAGGTGCCTTCTCACTCTAAAGGAAACAAAGAGGATTAATCATATGCTCTCTCTCTCTCTCTCTCTCTCTCTCTCTCTCTCTCTCTCTCTCACACACACACACACACACACACACACACACACACATTGAAGCCATACCTTAGAAAGTTGTACTACAAAATACTTTCTTCTATCCCAGCTTCAAGTATACCATCAACTATATGACCCATCTGAAACTTTGCACTGCTTCAGGCTCAACCAATAACTTGTCTGTTGGTTTGTCTGACCAACGGCAGAGAGGGGGGTTTATGGGAAACCTGTTTGGTACTTTTGCTATTCAATCTGATGATGCTAGTAGAGCAGAAATTACAAGCACTCTCTCACATAACACACAAACCCACTGAGAATAGTTGACTTTTAAAGCAGCGTTTCTGTCACATGTTTGAGCAGATCTTTAATGTGACTGCAGCTTTGAGACAAACCAATCCTATTACTAAAAATAACAGCAGCATCCTAAGACCCGTTTGCGTGCGCACACATACAGTATGCGTGTGTGTTCATGGTAACCAATAAACACAAAGACTATTTTTAAGATTATTAAAGACTATGTGTTAGATGACAATATAAAAGGAGAGGGAACAATTATGGCCTGTTGGTGGGTCCACCTTTGCCTCTGGTCCACACCTGGCCCATTATTAACTTAACTATCATTCCTTCAAGCTAACATACAAGAGCACACACACAAATGATCCTCTGGGGATCATTATTAGTTTGAGAACCCCAAAGTGCATATAAGGTAGGCTATTGCAAGAACACACATAGACCTAGCTGATAAATACTTCAAATTTTTTTTTACTAAAAAATGTATATGTTGTGTAGCTGCAGTTAGTAAGGAGAGTATTGAGCTCTGTTCTCTCTCTCCTGAAGCGACACTATATCGCTCTGAATTATTGATGTGAAAGCCGCCAGACACCAACATCAGATCAGCTCATGTATATTTTAAACACCCACAGTGTATCTTTTAGCCAGCATGCAGGTGCAACTGCATCCTCTGAGAGAAAATTCAATGATATTATTATAAACATGTTTTATGATTGTTTGAAATCAGTACCATATGATAATCATGTTTGCGCTCACATGAAATTGAAAAGTGCACATTCATTATAGTTCTATATTTCAACTCGGTCAACAGTTGTCTCTTACATGTGTCAGTTTTTATTTTTCCTAAGACATTACTTGAGAACCACCTGAAATAACACTGATATTTGAATTAAACAACTAAAAACTCCATTAAAGGGTTAGTTCACCCAAAAATGAAAATTAGTGTTTTACTCACCCCAGAGCCATCCTAGGTGTATATGACTTTCTTCTTTCAGACGAATCCAGTCTGAGTTATATAAAAAATTGTCTTTGATCTTTCAAGCTGTTTAATGCCACTCAGCAGGTGTTGCATGCATCAGTCCAAAAGAAGTTAAATAAAAAGCGCCCATCCATTAAAAAAAGCGTCTCACACAGCTCCGGGAGTTGAACAAAGGCCTCCTGTAGCGAATCGATGCGTTTTTGTAAGAAAAATATCCATATTCAAAACATAATAATCACTTTAATCTAGCTTGCGCCAACAGTTGTACATGGAAGCAGCTCCGGGAGGATGACGTATGAGGTCAGCTTTGTGTATGTGCTGGTGAGTCTAGTGAAAACCAACGTTTGTTTACAGGAGCAAAGGAAGCAACGTTTCCTTACTTTAGCAAAGGAAAACCAGTCTCCTCTTGGCTTATATCGAAATCCTCTGACATTCTTCTTTACAAATCCTCATTTTGTACTTCTAATTAGTGACCGTCGTTTTGTTTTGATCTCTCCGCTGAGTTCTGAGCGGCGCATGCACAAAGCTGACCTCATACGTCATCCGCCCAGTACTGCTTCCATTTACAACAGTAAGCGCAAGCTAGATTAAAGTGATTATTACGTTTTGAATATGGATATTTTTCTTACAAAAACGCATCGATTCACTACTCTGAGCGGCGCATGCACAAAGCTGACCTCATACGTCATCCGCCCAGTACTGCTTCCATTTACAACAGTAAGCGCAAGCTAGATTAAAGTGATTATTACGTTTTGAATATGGATATTTTTCTTACAAAAACGCATCGATTCGCTACAGGAGGCCTTTGTTCACCCCCCGGAGCCGTGTGGGACACTTTTTTTTATAGATGGGCACTTTTTATTTCACTTCTTTTGGACTGAAGCACTGCAACACCCGCTGACTGCAATGATAGAGCTTGGAATAGCCAGGACAATTTTTAATCTAACTCCGACTGGATTCGTCTGAAAGAAGAAAGTCATATACACCTAGGATGGCTCTGGGGTGAGTAAAACACAGCCTAATTTTCATTTTTAGGTGAACTAACCCTTTAAGCCCTCTGGGCTATGATGGAGCAACCTCTGAGCAAATAAAATTATTCATTTAATTTCCCACAGGCTTTAGAATTAGATTCAAAAACACTTGCTATAGTGTGTAATGCACTTTATGGATTCATTTTCTACATAAAAGCCTTCCAGTCTTCATAGCTTCTGTACTGAATAATAACATGACTTCCTCGCTAGAAAAAATAGTGCTCATTCATCTAGTCTAGAATTTCTATACTCTGACAACACATGTAAAATGATCTTTTTATTGATATTTTCTAATTATCGATGCAGTCTGCTCTATAAAATAACATCACAGTTCTTTCGACTGTTCAATTTGATTTTCTGTTGTATTCAAAATAATATATATATGGTTGCTTATCACAGAGCTCTATTTAACAAATGTATCTTAATATAAATCTCAATGAAGCTTTGAAAAAGGAAGCATTAACTGTGGTCATATCTGGTTTTTGATATGACCTTAGTTAATATCCCCTTACTGTACTTAACTATTGCTTCTACATCTGAGAACAAATCTAACCAAACATTTCATCAAAGGACTACTTTTTCCTAAACCTTTCCTATCTGGAATTTGAATAATTTACAGAATCCAGGTCACAGTAAATGCTGACCAGAATGAATCTACTAGAACATTCTAAAATCCCTGTACAGGCTGAGGTCTAGTTTCTGGCACATAGAAAGTCCTAATACACATATACATAATACTAGCCTTGACTCTTAATTCTAGTTAGGGTCACAGATCAAGTCAGTGTTCTAAGATCAAGGTTCAAAGGTCATTATCACTGTTTGTCTAAAATTCTCAAATCTAAATGGAAAGGTACTATGTGTTACAAATGTAATAGGATAGATTTATAAGGGTAGTTTACATTTGGCAACGATATAAACGGTCAACCAGTTAAAATTTCATACACTACCATTCAAAGGTTTGGAGTCAGACAGTATTTTTGAAAGAGTCTCTTATGCTCATCAATGCTTCATTTATTTGAACAAAAATACTGCAAAAACAATAATATTGTGACATAATATTGCAATTCCTGTGACACAAAGCTGAATTTTCATCATTTTAATATGCTGATTTGGTACACAAGGTTCCTACTGTTTCAGTGTTGAAATCAGTTATGCTGCTTAATATTTTTGTGGAAACAGTGATTTTTTTTCAGGTTTCTTTGATCAAAATTGACAGTAAATACACTTTTCCACCTTGGAATTATAAGGTTCTATCTGTATTCTGAGCAGTTTTGAGATATTGAGCTTCAAAGTTTTTGCGTTCCATAGACTTCTGTAGATAGAACCCTTTTTGTTTTCTAAAAAAAGGCCCAAAATGTACACAGCTTACAAAAGAAACATCACATAATGTAAATAAGCCATCACAGAATAAGAATATGTGAATAACTCCATTTTGACAAAAAATGTCAGATAGAACCTTATAATTCCAAGGCGACGCCTTTCTACAATAGATTTCTGTTTCAAATAAATTATGTCTTTTGAACTTTCTATTCATCGATTTAATGTGTCATTGCTGAATAGAAGTGTTAATTTATTAAATAAATAAATAAATTTGACCCCAAAAATTATGAATGATAGAAAAGGATGTATTCTAGGCTATGTAAATGGATTTACAGTTTCTGTCATAAGCAGTTTATCTGACAAGATAACTGAAAGCCATGCTATAATACTTTATAGTTAATTCATTAGTGTGCAAGTCCTTCATCTCTAAAAACCCATCTCCATTACATGCACAATCACAAAACAAAAATGTAGAATAATACAAGCAGAAAGATCCAAACTGACATTCACTTACCCATAAATTCCCCCCTGTATGTTTTATGAGCTACCAATCTGCCAAGCACCTCTGCTTGCTCTGAAGGCCGATGCATGCAAGTGCTCACACATGCATGTTTATGTTCTAGGCTGGGCTGGATTAGCTTTAGCTGCTTCTCTGAGGTATAATCTGTGAGTGGTTGTCTATCTCTGGTCGTGCATTCATTTAGATGCACAGGGTAGGATCCTACCCTACTTATCTTTTTCTGATGTCTGAGGTAGCGTTTTCTAGCTCTGCCATCTGGAGTTCTGCCTAGTACAATTACAAGAGTCTGGATTTACCATTCTGCTTCAGAGCAGCTGTTATATGATAGATAAACCTGTCAGTGTTGAATTCATACACACTTATGTATGCAGGTGCACATACAATGGTGACTATCCCTTGTGATTTGTGTTTGTTTAAGAGACAGTATGCCTGCACCGACCAAGATTAAAGCTCTGGCTGCCATTCAAAAGCTAACTACAGACACAGGTGCATTATGGGATAATGTGCTGATGGGATACACCTGGTCACAAACTACTACTCACACGGAATCACAAACATCTACCTATAGATAGTAACATATAGATGCTACATCCTGCTGGTACAGCATTTGGAGTGGTCAACAAGGAGACCTCTTTGAATAGAAGTTGAGAGCAGATTCTTTTTGTAGAAAAAGCTCATCATTATATAATAAATGATATAATCAGTATAGCTAAAATAACCGTTGGGTCAATAATCTGTTTAATTTGAATTTGTTTCATGTATCACCTGGAAAAATCAGAAGTGCCTGATATGACAAACTTAATGCG